CGTGACACTCCTGGCCCGCACGCTGTTGATTTACTTAACGAGTGATGGGGATTTAATTGCGAGATGACGGCGGCCCACATCAGACGAAGTCGGCCTGCTCCCAAAGAAACACCACGTCAACAAAACAACTTACCACCCCGCTGAGCCCTTAGCTGCCAGGCCACGGGACGCCTGTAGTTGACAGGACCACACCATTACCCAGCGTGGGGGAGTCCCGAACAAACTTCCCACTCAATGCAACAATAATTACCGACTGACCACGTCTAATCTAAAAGCAAAGTCCACGTAAAGTCTGACTCTTATACTCCAATAAAACAATTGCAAAGCATTCCGGGATTCTGAAAACGATATTTCAGAGGAAAGAACCTAGCTCCAGCTACGCCAACCCCCTGTCGGTAATCAGCACGACTTGATTTGCGACATGTGTTGTCTGCACCGTATGACTCGGGCGGAAGTTGCCAGGGGACAGTCCGGTCATTTATCACCGAATTTCATCAACATGAGCGGAAACATGTACCAAAATACAAGGCGATTTTTTTTTCAGTTGACAAAAAAATTCATCATCGTCGTGTCGAATGAAGTGGAGTAGAGTGAAATGAAAGATGGTGGGCTGGCGACCTTCGGTTCCTGCACGTTCTGCCTCAATCACCAGTCTTGAAATTCTGTAGCTTTCAACATGGCGACGCTAATTTTGGCGGGGAGGAACGAGAGCAGCAGCCGTGAAGAGGTTATTGTGTCGTCTGATTTGCTCGTGTGCGTCTCAAAGAGATCTCTTTTCACGGTTCGAGGATGTTTACCCCAGCCCGCCCACGATGAAGATTCCTTAAAAACCATGACTACAGGTTTCTCTTGCACCGTTGCGATTAGCTTGAAAGGGAGAGGAAACTTAATTATCAGCACTGTGACATCGAATTGCGTTGCTCTTTATGTGAAACAAAGTACTCGTGTATTCAATAAAGAACTTGAGAGAGGTGACGAACCATTACAAAGTCATAGTGACAGGAACTGTATGCAGGTTTTGTCATTCCAATGAGTGAACAGTTAACTAAAGCGAGGCTTGAAGAAGTCTGATAGTGAAGCCTTGTTCAATATTAAAAGAACCCCAGCCTCCTAAACTGAAAATTGAATCTTACTCTTTGCCTGGGTCTCTTTTTCTTTTTAAGAAATAATGTGAGACATACGGCTGGTATTTCACACCAAACTGTAAAAGTGGCGAAATCGTGACAGCAAACAACGAATTCAAAAACCTATCCACACCAAAGGCGAGGGATCCGTAGGAACCGTGATGGTCCATCGTTTTATCCGAAGGGCGCCCTCTGGTTAAGATTTGACCGAACCACGGGTTATTTTCTGGATTTTATACAGCCAGGGTACCACAGACATGCTTTTTTGGCCGCTTATTAAAGAAGAGCTCATTCAGCATGATGGATATGCATATGAATTTGAACAACAATAACAATACCGTGAAATGTATGGACACGAATAAGTTTTTCTCCCGAAAAAGTACAAGGTGCAGGTCCTGAACTAGATGGTTCTCCGGTAAGGCCATTGTACGGAGCTACGTTTATCAAATCTGACAACCGGAAAGAAGCAAAACATATGTATTTCAAGCTACGGGAAACACAAAAGGCGAAAAAGTTCAGAGTAACCGATGAGGCGTGTGGGCAAGCCAGACAGGGAACTTTTTCAGGTCTGTCAGCTTCACTTTACTGGGCAGAAGGAGGGGAAATAGCAAAAACAACTTGTGGTGGTAAGAGTTATCAGAGCAGAAAGATAAATGCGCAAAACATTGAGCCTTTGGCAATTGGTAAAAAAATACCGCCTACTGAAGTATTTTCAAGCATTTTATTTTTTTTTTCAGTCGTGGATATCGTATAGCGTTGGTCGCTTTCTGATTCTAGTAAAGTGCGCAAAAGATAGATTTGTGACGCGCGTTTGCATAATCTAGGTATATGTACACATTTACCCAAAGTGTCTCTTCAAAAAAGTTAATTTGGTCAATGTGGTTCAGTCATTGAAGTCCATTTGAGACACAAATTTGTTGATTTGGGTTCAGATCATGACTAGGATAATTCATCAAAAACAAAATCCATGTGGGAAGTTAACAAGGTACAGCTCCGTGGTTAGACAAAAACATAAACGCTTTCAGGCGTGTTTATTACTTGAATGTTTTCTGTTATAATTTATGATTTCTTTAATTCCAATTCTTTAGACTACCTTAGACAATCTGAACATTGAAATCACTGTTCTACAGAATTCATAGCGAGTGGTTGTCTCAAGGACGGACTCAAAATGTGCAGCGGTTTATAACTTATAGGATCCTGTCTTGTCATTCGCTACTGTTTATCTCCACAATTGCCACAGTACCAAATTCAAATCATGTTAGATATTCTAGAGTCCACAGCAAGGTTGTCCCGTGGTTTCTTGTCGTCTGGCTGTCACACAGGCGGTCTGGACTCCAGTTGAATGGCAGGTCCCCTGACAGTGCAATGTAATACCACATAACGCCGACTTGACAAATACGACACGGGCTCAGGCAAGACTAGTTTGAGGTGTGGGGAAGATGCCTCCCGCCCAGCTTGTCCCGGGTCCCACCCCACGGTTCGACCGTGGCTTCGCTTATACAGTGCGATCTGGAACCCATCGCGTGCCGGCCGGTCTCAGCTTCGACTGACCCCACCTCCCCCTTCCCCTACAAACAGCGTCCAATATGCAGCCAGACTTTCAGCGCGTCCCACACCCAGGCGCTGCGTTGCTAGCTCCGCCATGCCCGGACCTTGTTGCAAACCAATTAGGAGGGAAAGAAACCGAATCCAGGCGCAGGGAAGGCTGTAATCTACGGGCCAGCTGTGGGGATTTGAGTCCTGCCGCGACCTCGTCAACTGCTGCCGGCGAAAAAACAGCAAGCGATATTCGTTTGTGGTCGAGGCGGGCCGGCCGGCTGGTTCAGGGTAATGTTGATGATGATGATGATCATGACGGGTCTTCATGGACTGATTAATCTGCCGCGCAGAATGAACAAGCATGGTACACCCATTGACTAAATTTTCAATTTTCTGGGTCGTGTGAAAGCTTCAAAAGCTAGATTCTAGAGACAGCAGTCGTTTCTTGACTGAAGGGTGGATACATGTCAATCATTAATCTGACATAATGTTCTGATCATCATGAATAATCAATTTCATTTTTAATACCATTATACAGGAGGTTAGATTTCAACATTTGAGTCAGCCATGAGTGTTCACTCAAAGATATAGGAATAGTTTACATTGCAAAAAATCACATAGAAATTTACAGTCACCCTTGCCCCCTAGCTATATTTTATCCCACCACGTTTAAAATTACCCTTAATTAGTTTTGGAATTTGGAGGGAAATCAATTCCTTTTGGAAATGTTGACTGTTCTAATCATAAGTTTAATCCGATGTCATCGGCCAAGATCCGAGTCTGGTGAGTCCAGACGTTTCGACGATCATATCATGATTTATTCACCGGTAAACTTCTGAGGGTAAAAAACTCCTCCATTACAGATTGCCGTAAGTCCTGTGAGACGGGCCTTCGTCGTTTCCCAGCCCACGGGAGACGTAAGCATCATGCTCCCACCTCAATCACTAGAAAGGAGTTTATTTTTCCCCATTGCGGCTTGATAAATGATCTAAGGTTCAAACGACTCCCGACTCGACAGGAAAAAAAGCTTGTCCTTTATTCCCCATTTTCCTGGCCCCGCCACAAGAACTTCCCAACTATTGCCGCAACCAACAAAGAACACGATTGATTTGCCTTAATCAGGCTGTAATTTAAGTCAATTTCCTGGCCAAACAAGACGGCACAAAAGCACCCCGCTCGAGGCAGAGGGAAAATATCCCCTCACTCACGATAATAATATTTACGAAAAGTATACGTCTGATGGCCACCGACTCCACCGAAGGAAACGAAATGTGCGAGAAAGGGTCCGGACGTTTGTGCGGGAACACAACATCAAGCGAGCAATTTCACAGCTGCCTATGCAGTACATACATCCTTCCCTGCAACGCCGCGCCATATTGGGGCCGTTGAAACAGCAACACATTCGTTATGTCGTATCATAGTGTGCATGGTGCATAAGCCCATTGAGTTGTTTTAACAGGAAAGCCCAGAGCCTTGGCACACACCACCACTGCAAGCGGCAATAGCGAGGGTGATACCATTCACCGCCTGACATGCTTTGATGACTGCCGACGTTGCCCCATTATCTGTCAGCGGGCCTGTCACTCGCGCCTTCCAAGTGTCAATCTGGATCGCCCGGCGAACACCCCAGCTCGCTCACCCATTGATTGATTGATAAGGGATAAGAAAAAAAATCTCCTCGCGGAGTCTGGGCCTTTGAAGTCTACCGCCTAGGCCCAGTCAATGCCCCCTTTGGTCCCCACTCAACAAACCCCGGACGAAGGGACAGAAAAAAAAACAGCCTGGCCTTCACAAAACGTGTCCAAGCAAACGTAGTTACCCCGTCGATGGCTGGGAACAGACTCGTTGTGCCATTCAGCTTCGGCGCGGGACGCTTTGTTGTCACACAGTAATTGCGATTATTGGAACGATTTATCTCCCAGAATCATTGCCCTTTTCAAAAGCCGTTTTTCAAATTACTCGAGCCACGTTATCAACAACAAAAAGCTGACATAAATCAGACAAAATTGACAAGTCTGACACTAAGTTGATTGATTACAGTCTAGCGCGCACGACTGGCTGTACGCCAAAGAGCATTTAGATCGAGCGCGGTGATTGGCTGGCTATTCTCAAATGACACTATCGGGTATCAATCATTCTGAGCCGGTGACAGCTAGTCGCGCAGCTTCACCAATCAGCACTCCCACCCAGAGCCGGCTGCCCACGCGATTGGCTGGCGGTACATTCCCTTCATCTCGGGTTGTAAATTCAATGTTTGACTTGAAGTGTTGTCGGCAAATTTGTGTTTTTGTGTGTTGTCTAGAGGGGCGGCACACACAGACCGGGCAAGCTTGTGCGGTTTTCAAGCCACTCACGATGCAGCAATGAATGTGTTTGATCGCCTGCAGCCTGCCAGCGCTTCGTCATTCTGAACTCGACAGTGATAGAACTCGCATCGTGTGGGATACTGCTGTTGCCGTAGTCCTGTTATCGTCAGCACAGTGTACATGTACGTTGGGTTATTACTCGACCAACATGTTAGCTTCGAGACCACTTATGCATACGGAATATCTGCAGCCTCTGGACCCTTTGCCCACAACGGTATGTACTGTCTATCTGATCCACTTACAACTCTCTACCTTAATGGAAAAATTTATTTGTTCCTTATTCCTCGCAACTGTTACGAGTTGAAAGCATTTAACTCGCTCGACAATCGACACCATCTTCTAAATTCTCAAGACCAGTAAATTGCAGTTAAATCATAAGCGTCTCGTTTATGCTGAACACGTCTTTTGGCCGTGTCACAATCGCCAACACTTGGAACTTAAGCGCTAATACGACTTATGTACTGCATAATAAGGTATTAAAACACGGAAGGTTGTAAAGCTGTGCCACGATACGGGCACAATCACATGGCACATGCCTTTTAAACTTTCAAATTCAAACGACCAGATGTTAGATGTCGTTTGTTTACATCAACCCTGCAGGCTCCAACGCGAATATAGTGAAGTTCATTATTGAGCCGCCCCTTGAGAGAACTAAGTATTTGTCATATGCTTCCTTTGTTTGTTGCCCTGACATGAAACTCGTGTGTTCTAACTCGTCTGTCTGTGTGGTGGAAGTGGTGTTTTCATCCGCGACAAATCAGACTGACTGCTTGCCACTTTGTCCTGATTTTCAGAGATACCGTGGGATTGTTAACGCAGGAATTTTTGATCTCTAATTAAAAGATAGAACTGGCTCTTCGAAATGTCACTGTTGCTGTTCCGACCAGCAGCGGCTTGGGCTATACCTGCCGCGATCACCCGCCTGCGCTCCCGTCTTGTGTTCCTCCGGATGCGCGTTCTACTTCCGTACTTTATTGTGTTTCCATGCAAAATCACAGGGGCGCCAGACCTGTAACTGTGCTTATTATGTATTGATTAAACGGTTTCTTCAAAACGTGAACGGGTGGGGGATGTGAATGGAGGGAGAATATTTTAAGCGATTCAGAATGTTCGGATTTACTTCTCTGATAGATTGTACGTGTATTCAAAATAACCTATGTTATTCTGTATGATTGAATTGTCAATGTCAAATGTCTTTTTATTTCTTTTTTGAAAGTGTGATAGTATTTCGGATGATTACCCTCAAACGAGACAATTCAAAGTGAAATGCCTTTGACAATTAATATGTTTTTCTATCTCTTTTGTGATTTGGCTCTAGAAAACTGATTGAAAAACATAAGTGAGACTAAATCTTTTCTTCCTTATTTTCATATCTCCAGCTGGACGCAAAGAAGAGTCCCCTGGCATTGCTTGCTCAGACGTGTAGCAGCATCGGCAAGCCAGACCCACCACCCAGCAGCAATGATGCCAAGCCAGCAGCAACCCCCATCGGTCGCCACTCACCCTCTGGTAAACACTCGCCAGAGAAGGCATCCACGGCCGCCGGTCTGCCAGAGTCCAGCTCGGGGTTCAAGCCCTACAAGCAGCCCGAGAAGCGCGAGGGGGACGCCCAGGTCATCAAGATCGGCTACGGGAAGGAGAAGAGGGAGGCAAAGTCGCCGCCATCCTCCAACTCCCCGCGCTCCCCACCACTGAAGGCCAAGACGGAGCCGGCCACCACACCCACGTCCACCCCGGGGAGTATCGATGCCAGCACCAGCCAATCCGGCCATTCCTCGTTGAGCGATGGCAGCCACAAAGACACAGTGACCGTCACCAAGCCGACCGCGCCCGTCCAGGCAGCCCAAGTTGCGCCCTCTCATCTTCACCATTCCAGCTACCCGGGACATTACAAGCACGGTCTCCTCACCCCATCACACGCCGGTCACTGCGGGTGTCCCTCCCAGGTTGTAGGTCACATGCCGTACTACCCCGACCCTGCTGTCGCGGCCCGTGACCCCGTGAGTGTCCACCCCCTTAAGCACGATGTGAACCCCCTTCTGGCGGCCACTGCTTCCCCCTATACCGCCTACGCCAGGGTCAAGACAGCGGACGGAGGAACCACCCTCATGCCCATCTGCCGGGACCCGTATTGCACAAACTGCCAGAGTGCCCAACACTACCAGACAGGCACTCCATCCGGGTGCACACAATGTAGACATGACACTTTCGCTTTGAATACTCCCCTTCCGATCGCTCTACCGCTCCCGGGGAGTATGTCCCCCTACCTCAGCAGCAGTGTAGCATCCAGTGTCCACCAGACACCCTACCTGTACCCCCACTCCATCACCACCACCTCGCAAGAACACGGACACGTCTGTAACTGGGTCTCAGGGGCGACCAGTTGTGGTAAGCGGTTTGCCAGCAGTGAGGAGCTATTGCAGCATCTGCGTACGCACACCATGACCAACAGCGAAGTCCCCACATCGTCGGCTCTTAGTGCGACGCTTGGTGCTCAGCTGAGCGCCTACTATATGCAATATCCCACGGCAGCTGCCGCCGCTGCCGCCGCTGCTTCGTTTGGACTTCCCAAGCCAGGCTTCCCTACTCCGCTGAGTCCAGTTGGTGCCATTCGTTATCATCCGTACTCCAAGACCCCGTCACCGATCGCGGCACTCCCCGGCCTACCGACGGGTGCGTATTATTCACCGTACCCCCTCCACGACATCAAGTCTAGATTCGCAACAGCCGGACTTCCACACTAAGAACACTAGCGATCAGTGATTCTCAAACTTACATCCAACTCACTTCTCGGGTTTAAAAGCAAGCCACTTGTGTTTCCCTTTGCCACTAAATTGACTCTGTAAAGGTACATGTGTCACCATGGTCTACAGTACAATGTGAAGCTGATGGTCATCGGGTAGTTGACACAGTTGATATACAAGTTTGTGTATATATTTTCTACCATAAAGTTAATATTGTATAGCGTTCATTTGTAAATTTCAAATACGTATTCAAAGAATGATTGTATTTGTCAAAAATGTACCTATGAATCACGAGACAGCTATACATGTATTTCAGTTTGATCGGTTTGTGCATAAAGAAAAAACATGCCATTCCTTATGGAAGATGTGCAAATTTGGGAGATGGCTGATGAAATGGTTCATCTACGAAGTTAAACAAGAAAACAATATGAAAGTGTTGTCTCTAAATAATGAAATCGCTAAGGCATAATAATTGTACTGTCATAGAATTTGGCCTTCATGGTTTGGGGTTCGATTTGCCAATCGTTATCTGTTGTTCATTATACTCCAAATTCAAACCATACCAGCATGTGATTTTAACGGAGGAGAATCTGTTCTCTTAATCTCTTTGTAAATTCTTGGTTAGTGTTACTTGTGACATTGTCGAGTGGTGATGTGTTCCCTCAGTGCGCTATCGGACCACTACATGCATATACACACAACATGTATTTCCTCACATGAAGATTCTAACAACTCGAGCAATGCGAGGGGTGATAGCACACACTTGTCAGCAACCTTAGTCATCATATTTTCCCCATCAATAATCGTGTTTATCTCGATTCTTATACGCTGCCCGTTCAGTTGTTGAGTCCCTTCATTTCCACAGTTTTCAACATGTTGACTAGTGCACCCGAAAGGAAAACAGAGAAAGTACCCGACCCCAAATCTTCCGCTGGTTTGTAGGAATGGCGCACTTGATAGGACCGGGGTGGACCCGAGGTGCTACTAGTATACAATCTATCATCGCGGGGTTGTCGAGTCGCTTATAAATTACACGCTGTCCGATGCAGTGATAAGGCGCGCTTCCAGACCCCCCGATGATTTATGGTATCCGTTCATATTCACCGTTAGCAATTTATAATTCTCTGCCAGTCAGCATCCACGGGAGAGCCAATTTCATTGTAATGTCGAGATGTATTTTTTGCAACGGACGGAAAGAAAAATTGCCTATTGGGGGGGGGGGTAGCTGCTCATTGTTAAAACGGTTCAGTACGTTTGTGAACTACGTGTTGGATAGCACGTTCTCTTTAGGGGGAAGAAACTTTTATCGATGTTCACAATGTTGATTTTTTTAAAGCTTTTCGTCAAGTACTCGTCTATTTCGTTCTTTTTGCCAAGTTAGGAATATTGTTTTCCGAAATCGGATTTCATTTTTGTTAGGTATCATTGCAGTTGTACATACTCCGAGTGTATGTTATTTTATCATTAAAACAATTGAAAAGGTTACAGGATTTGAGATTGTGAGTCTATTATTTCATTGTAAACGTTTGATGAATCATAAACACCAAACTTATTCGCTGAACCAGTTTTCCTTATTCAAGTATTTCATTGCGCTTCAGCAAAACGATCTTGCCTTTGGAAGAAGTCTCTGGAGTCATTTTTTTTCGGCCAGCCCGCTACACATGTAACAACGGAATTTCTTTTGTTTTCCTGTCGAAAAAGATTCATTATCAGGAAAGCAGCCGATGTTTGCGCTGTAATGGGATCCTTGTAACGACTGGTTCATCAGCCTGAAATATCTGGATTGGTGTCTGGTTTAGTGGCATCAAATACATGTAGGCCTACATTATGTCTTCTGCCTGCACTGTGTTCGGTTCACGCGAATCAGAGTGGGTCAAAACATACAGGCCCTATGACAAATATGTCTCCAACCACAGCCGTGACAGCTGTAGCACACAGATTGCCAGCTTCCGTGGAAATTTAGGTGTCAACTTTGTGTGATGAAAAAAGGAGTTGGCGAGTCTTGACAAAGTGCAGGTTACGCTTTTCACTTGCATGCAGTTGGTGACGCATCGCCCTACTCGGAACTTAGTGCAGGATTCTTCTGACCGGCCTACACGCTTAAAGCAAGAAAATCAGATCACATTAGCTTCATTCTCTGCTGTTAGTTTGCACAGTGTTTTATTCAGGCACGCTCGCCCAAATTGACTTTGAAATAGCTTTCAAAGCAAAGTAACTTGCAAAATAGATATAAAGAATGCCGTTGGGGGGGGTTGTAAAATTCAAAAGGTACATGCACACCTACGCTGCCGCTTTCACACGTTTTACATGTACACACCGTGACACAGCAACCAAGAAATAGAGCCACAGACACGGAGACTCGATTTGGACAAAATAAAGTGGGTATTCTCGTTCTTTTTTCTTGGGGGGGGGGAGTTGGCTCGCGCAAGACAAGATTAGAAACACCCACTGAAGAGACTGAAAGGTATGCAAGGCAACCAAACTGGATATAGCTAAAGCAGGTTTCACAGGTCAGTTGGACGACTGATTCCAAAAAGCCACTTGCGAGTTAAATTTGAATAAATTCTGATACAGTGTGTTATCCGAGTGCATAGAAACGTACCAATTTGAATTCCCCAGACTAAAGACACTGTTGCTATACCTCGTGATTCGGGGCAAGCTTTGCATAGCAACCACCATCTCTGGAATGGACTGGTTCCTTTGTGCACTTCTTTTGGAAAATGGTGAAGCAACGCCTTTGTACCTTTCCCTTAGACAACACAAGACTTAAAACAAGTAATGGGCATACGGACAGGAAAACAGCGAGGAGACCCGATAGGTTGTAGAAGGATTACATTTCACTCTCAGAATAAGATGTAATCATTGTTTTCTTCAGTTTGTAGCAAAGGAAACCACAGTATTACACTCTTTAAGTTTAACATCAAGTTCATTCCCATATCTAACACCACACTGAAATGGACTGTTTCTGAAAAATGGTGTTCTGTTTTGTTTCACAGAAAGATCACCTCTTAATGAACGATGTGTCCCGTGTGAATGAACAAAGGCTGTAAATGAAAATAGATCATCAAACACTTGTGGGAGTATGTTGTGAACATATTTAAACATAAATACGCCCGGGTGGAGATGATAAAGATTATGCAGTTTTCAGATATTTAGTCAACCAAATGGAGTAGTATGATCAAGGTAAGCTGCATTGCTAACAAAATAAACAGCTTTCTTCTGCAAAGCAGCGAGTTTGTTAATTAAGGCCATGCGCGGCTGACAACGCTCCAAATGAAATTAAGCCTTAGGCTAGGTCTATTGTCTATGCGTCTCCACATATTTCTAATGGAGCGAAGACCTAGACCTAGCTCTAGACAACAGATTTGGATGCAGCCTTAGTTTAGATATGGAAGAATAAGAGAGTCATACAACGTCAACAGAACAGAATCGGGTAAAAATAATTATATTTCACACGATTTATGACCCCCAACATTTTTGAAGATTTCACTGCATTTAACTTCAATGTGGTTATTCCAAGAGAGATTGTCATCTATGTAAAGGCCAAGGAATTTAATAATTTTGACCTGTTTACGGACAGTGCCATCAAATATGAGAGAAACTGTGGAATAATAATGGTTCTATCTCGGGGAACTCGATAGTTTGCTCTCAAGATTGATGAGAATCGTATGAAACAAACTGCTTTCTATTTGATAAATAACTCCTGAACCAATCCAAGGTCAACCCTCGTACACCTAAATGGTCAAGTTTATTAAAGAAGGATGTCATGATTTACAGTATCAAAGGCCTTGAACTTTTCTAATTGCATGGAGACTGGCTATTGTATAAAACCGTATCACTGTCAGCAAATGTGTGTGTGTGTGTACCTTTCGGTGAGCTGCATTCGATCGTTAAATTACATGGTTCCTCACTTTGGTTCCTTCAACATCGACATGGTAATAAAAGGGTTCTAGGTGAAATACATCCGTTTGCCGCTCGCAATGCACATCTAATTAAACAGACCACTTTGTGATATGCGTGCCAAAATACAATGGCATGGTTCCTCACTTTGGTTCCTTCAACATCGACATGGTAATAAAAGGGTTCTAGGTGAAATACATCCGTTTGCCGCTCGCAATGCACATCTAATTAAACAGACCACTTTGTGATATGCGTGCCAAAATACAATGGCAGCGGTGCATCTACGCCATAATTATGCGGCACGGAAAGACCGTATGTTGAACAAGTGAACAGATCGGGTTTTTTTTTTACACCTTGTATGACTGTCTCCAACATAGCGTTCAACAATGTTACAACAGCTTTAGAGCATCAGATCGTCAGTCCCCTGTAGACAGAAGTAGTATGGTGCGTAGAAAGTTCGCATTACAACATGTTCATGCATTATACAGATTCTATGAACAATTACAAAACTAACACGCGACACTGCTTGCGGATATTTTATGCACGTAACTGAATTAACATCATCCCAGGAACGCGCCGAATTACATAGGGGGCGCTGTTTGTGTAAATAAATGATGTCATCGATGGGATTAAGATCCGGCGAAGAAAATGACCTCACGGTCGAGTCATTCTTGGGCAGTGACAGAGTTTTTCAAAACGTGGAGCTGTGTGGGAGGTCAAGGCGGGACGATGGTGTGAGCTCTAATTTGATAACGGATTAAACTTATCAAAACCGATTGGACTTGCAACCGACCACGGTTTAATCCGCCCTGACATCTCTCGAGCGAACAGGGGGTTAAGGGGACACAGAACAGCCATAAGTGGCTCAAATACAACATGTATAGCTTATATAGAATATGCAGAGATGCACTCGGTCCAGGCAGGAAAATATAGACTGGTTTCGTTAGGCTTTCTCAGTTGAGAGACAGCATCTGCCTGGCACAGTTTTATTGGTCTGGCTTGTCCCACGCCTCCTGCTCTGAATGTTTCCCTGTTCTCCCTCAGTCATATGAGATGTTTGTAAAACGATGCATCACAGACAGTAGAACACAACTGAATAACAACTGCTCAATTAAAACCAAACCTAATTCATCTAATAAGCGCATCTCAACCACCCAAAACACGCACATCTTCGCGAAAACCTGAACTCGTGGCCTAGGCTATACTTTTACTCTCTATTGTTCACGCTCTTTTCTGGAAGACCTTCCGTATGTTTTGCACCCGATAATATCGTCAATCGTGGGCAAATTTAGTCCATCACGGACCCTACTGAACTCTAACTTCCACAAGTTGAATGTAAATACAGATTTGTTCTTGGTAAGAGGCGTAGTTCTCACCAAATTCGTAAGAATGCAAGTCGGTTCGAAACAGATTTGATTAACAAACGCCATCAGTTTAAACATGTATTGTACATCAGCAAAGACCATTCAGAATAATGACGCTGCATATTGTATAATTTTTTATGTACTTCCACCACGGACAAAACAGAACTGTTCAAAAAGCATGAGAGCAGGTGTTACAGTATTTTAATAATAATAATTATTATTATTATTATGATAAGTTTTTTCTTCACTGCTGTTTGTGACGATTGCTTCTGATTGGCATCTGGAGATAAGTAACCGGTCCATTCTCCAATGAGTATTTATCTTGGCGTGCAGCTTCAGCGTTCACAGGAAGAGTGGTTTGTGTGTCGTTAGCGGAGGCCGGCAACAAGATCTATTAATATCCCTGTAGAAGTCAGATGTCGCTTGTGAGGCAGTTCAGCACTCGGAAATCATTTGATAAATTACACCTGCAAGCACTCGATATCCACACTTTCAGGTCTTGGAAATACAACTACAGTACAAATAATTCTTGTCACATCTGTTGAAACTATCTTTCCTTCGACGTTTTTGTTTTTACCCGCAAATGAGCGTTGACAAGTTGATAGAACTTTTGTTACTGTTTTAATTGAGATCGGTTTGGCTACATTGCCTTGAATCTTGACAAAAGAAGGCGCGGATCCAAGACCAATTAAGTTTTGGACAGGCTTTGAAAAATATCTCTGGGATGATTGATTCATTCAATGAACGATGTATCGTTTCATGCACCACTGTTTTTTTATAAACATGACCTGTCTGCCTCGTCCACTTCAAACAGATATTCCTCACCGATGACACATTCATTACGACTGGCTTGTCTCACCATTGTTGAACTTTGCGTAAGGTTCTTCCGTTTTTTGTTTGAAATCTATCTTCATTTACATGTACACTCACTGCTCTGAAAGTATTCACAAACCAATCATTTTTGGATAAGTTGCATATACTCTGCATGTAGAACCCCAAATGACATATAATCGTTTCGTACAGTTACGGAAAATGTCACTGAATCTGACCAGCTGACAGCTCTATTGGTGAAAATAAATCGAAACGAGAATAATAATGCACCCAACAGGAATGACTTCAACTGATATATCGCATCTGCACTGTCCATTCCATTCAGAGTAAGTAAGCATGGACCGTAACTTGGATCCATGTTGTGCGGTGCCGGTCATAAAATTCTCAGCATCATGCATAA